AGTCCCAAATTGTTTGAGCTCCAAATGGCAATAGATGGTAGTGCCAATAGGGCCTTATAAATTGTTTCACTTATATAACCAGAGATGAACAACTTGAGGATCCAGTCATTACTTACACAGCCTGACTTTCTGTTTAGCAGAGGGATCCACTGGATCATCTTCCACAGAGAAAGAAATAAAGACATTGAATGATCTTGTGAACCTTTTCTAAGATGTGGTGAGAAATATCCCAACAGAGCCTTCCCAGCTGTCAACAGAACCATAATCTGCTATTGTATCTGTATCTTGAGTAGAACCTTCCCCCTTGGGAACAATTGATAACTGTCTGGAAAAGTGTTGAATCAAAGAAAGATGAAGTTGTCTTGCACCTTGGTCATGTATGAATGTAGAGACGTTGCAAACTATTGCTTGGGTCAAGACCTGATTACCACATCATTTTGGAAACCCTGGAATTACACAAGTGCCTCTGCATTCAGACATGACCAAGAGATAAGTGACATTTTGGAAACTGGCAAAAATTACTGATCAGAATCCATTAGCTCACTGGCTTAACTCTCATTTGGTCATGAGAATCTGGAATGTGTCCAGAGGTGAGCGACTAAAATGATCAAGAGTCTAGTGAATAAGCCCTATGAGGAGTGGCTGAAAGAGCTGGGCATGTTTAGCCTGCAGAAGAGAAGGCTAGGAGGAGATATAATGGCCATGTATAAATATGTGAGGGGAAGTCATAGGGAGGAGGTAGCAAGCTTGTTTTCTGCTGCCCTGGAGACTACAACGCAATGGAACAATGGCTTCAAACTACAGGAAAGGAGATTCCACCTGTACATTAGGAATAACTTCTTAACTGTGAGAGCTGTTCAGGAGTGGAACTCTCTGCCCCGGTGTGTGGTGGAGGCTCCTTTGGAGGCTTTTAAACAGAGGCTGGATGGCCATCTGTGGGGGGTGTTTTGAATGCGATTTTCCTGCTTCTTGGCAGGGAGTTGGACTGGATGGCCCATGAGGTCTCTTCCAACTCAAGAATTATAGGATTCTAACTTCTCCATAATTTTAAGCAGAATATACATTTTAAAATTAAATTGAGTTTGATTCCTGCCTGTTCCAATATGACATCCTGACTCTGTTCCTCTTGAGTATGAAGGTATAGGAGAAGTGTATATAGTGGGATCTGCTGGGATTTGGTTCCAGGATTTCCCATAGTTCCTAACATCTGTGGATCCTCAAGTCCCATTATACACAATGGTATAGTAAAATGGCACCCCTTAAATAAAATGGTAACATCAAGGTCTACTTTGAAGTTACTATATTTCATTAAGTCTAAGACTTAATTTTTTCCTATATAAACATCTCTAAGAATGAGGCGCGTCTTAGAATTGCAGGGGTGTCTTATGTATTTTTGGTGGTAGTAGTAGTCCTGAAATTAGGGTGCATCTTACAATCGATGGCATCTTACAATGGAAGAAATACGGCACATAGATTGCATTTGTGGGAAAATGTATCACTGTAGTAGAGGTTTCCCTGTTTGTCTTGGCATTTCTTCTGTCACACTCACAAATGGCTGATGTGACCAGTCAGTAAAAATTATTATTCCTCAGAAAGATAAGAATGTTTCGAGAATATAAGACAGAGGTGTATTTTGAAGCCATGCTTGATTGAGCAGTCATTCAAAAAAAGCAACCTGAGAACACAGGGAACTTGGTTAAGAAACAGTGTGAGGCAAAAGTGGGCTCCAAATCCCAAAAGTCAAATCACAAATTTAAACCCACAAAATGCTAATTTCAACCAAGGCAAAGTAGTGATGCCCACAGAAACATGAAAACAAGACACTCACACACTCCATGTCATCTCCAAAACAAGCGAACTATGCATCTAAATTGTATGGACACAGCCAAAAACAGACAAACACAAATAGGCAACACACCCATCTCTTACTCTGCTGCCCCCTCTTTTCCCTCAAGTGAGTACAGAACACTGAACTATTTTCTTTAAATACTTTATTTTTAGAATTTTGTGGTTTGAAAAGTGCAACACAGCGATAAACTGCACAACAAAAGAAACAGGAGGACAAAATGTCCTGTTCACCCCAGGCAGCAATTTTGACTGGTCAGTTTGTTTTTGAACAAAGTAATTGCAGTTTGACACCACTTTAACTGCCATGGCTTAATGCTATGGAATCCAGGGAGTTGTAGTATGATGAGGCACCAGCAAGTTTTGGCAGAGAAGGTTATAAAGACCTTGTAAAAGTAACAAGATAAATTGCTGCCCTAAACTTCTTGGAGAAAGTTAATCAACAAAATATACCATCCTAATTCAGTTTTTTTTTTCAATTTTAGGATTGGACAATGGATGTAGTTTTATGAACTTCTACAGGTTATACCCAGTTAGACTCTTCCGCCATCAGAATATCTTTGATTAAGGGGTAAACACAAACAAAAGAAACAAAACAAGCAACAAAATGAATAGCTACTGGTCACTGCATCTCTTTCAGGATTTAGCACTAATTTATGGGTCACATAAATTAGTGCTAAATCCTATATCATTCTTAGATACCTTCTATTAGCCATGGCTTGATGGTTCAGCGATGAATTGTCTGACAGATGACCTAACAAGCTATAGCTTGTTCTCTTCATTTGTGCTGTTTCTCTTCCGCTCTGTCAACTTATGAGAGAGCAGGATAGGAACAAGTTACAGTTCTGGGTATACATGCAACATTAACCCTTGACTTGAATAAACCCAAGTTAACAATATGCTTATTACTGTGACATACAATTGGCTAAGGCCCTCTGAGCTGCTGAACTTGCTGACCGAAAGGTTGGCGGTTCAAATCCAGGGAGCAGAGTGTGCTCCTGCAGTTAGGTCCAGCTTCTGCCAACCTAACAGTTCAAAAACATGCAAATGTGAGTAGATCAATAGGTACTGCTTCTGCAGGAAGGTAATGGCATTCCATGCAGTCATGCTGGCCACATGACCTTGGAGGCGTCTACGGATTGGCTCTTTGGCTTAGAAATGGAGACGAGCACCACCCCCCAGAGTCAGATACAACTAGACTTAATGTCAGGGAAAATCTTTACCTTTACTTTTTACAATTGGCTAGGAAACAATAGTTAGTTTGCAAGGATGGGCCAACATTCAACAAACCACAATTCGGTTTCCTGTTGCACTATTTGTGGCTTGAGAAAAAAACTTCTTTGAAGGCAGCATGCAATTCAACTGATTTGTTAGGAAGGAAATAAACATGCTACTTCAATTACACAATTTTTAAAAACAAGTTCAACATATAATTCAATATGAGATGTTTGCAATGTCTCAGGTTGTGTAACGTTGTTGCTTGTCTTGAAGTCATTTCCAATTTATGGAAACCATAAGATAAACCTACCATGTTGTGTTTTTTTTTTTCTGGGGCTCAGAGTATATGACTCACCCAGAGAGGTTTCTATGGCCAAACAGGGAATACAACCCAGACTCACAGTCCGATGCTCAGACCATCACTTCTTAACATGAACATTAGCATAACAACTGATGGATAATTCAGATGAACTCAAAGCTTTATGTAGTACTGAAATTAGATGGTACAAAACTATAAAAACTTTTTACGTACCTCTGCGACTGATCTTAAGAGTTCCAATAATACATAACAGAAGATGGAATAAAATATGTGATCCATTTTCAGTTCTGGCTTTATGCATCTATAGCAAGCAGGCTGTTCATATTACTGTAATCTGGAGTTCTGTTTTCAGACCTCTTCAAGTGAATTTTTTGGTTATGGCATTAACTGCACTACCTGAGAATAATGGCAGGTCCGCTACATATTTTGGACAACTGCCTTGGTCCCTAATCATTGTCCAGATATTGTCCAAATCATCAGGAGAGCACCTTGATCTGTGAAGGATGTATTGTCATCAGTTCATTAAACTGAGATTTCCCAGGAGATTTTTCCTCACTTTCCCCAACAAGTAGAGGCTCAAAATCTCTGTCTCTCTGTGTGAAAATATTATTCTGAGAGCCAGTGACTGACTACATTGTAACTCTATCTACTCCTAAAGGAAAAGAACGACTAAAGACAATTGGGCAGTGCTAAAATAAATGAAGTGTGGTTTGTTTCAGGAGATTTTCAGTGGTTCCCAACCTTTGGGCCTCCAATGTTTTGAACTTTAGTTCCCACAATTCCTAACAGCTAGTAAGATGGGTGGGATTTCTGGGAGTTGAAGTCCAAAACACCTGGAGGCCCAACGGTTGGGAACCATTGTGAAAGTCCTGATTGCAGTTGTTGGCCTCAGCTAGAATAAATCAATTGAATAAATTGAATTTACAAATATGTTAGCATTCAACACTTGAATTCAATCTACCTATTCTAGTTGGAAAACAGCAAGGTGATAAAGATTCAGCTCACAGTCTATACACTACATGTCTACTACTCTCTGACATTATCTTATCAGGAATTTCAGATGTTTCTTAAAATGTAGAAATACATCAGTCACTGGGTTGCTGTAAGTTTTTTGGGCTGTGTGGCCATGTTCCAAAAGCATTCTCCCCTGATGTTTTGCCTGCATCTATGGCAGGCATCCTCAGAGGTTATGAGGTTTCACAACTTCTGAGGATGCCTGCCATAGATGCAGGCAAAACATCAGGAGAGAATGCTTCTGGAACATGGCCATACAGCCCAAAAAACTTAAAGCAACCCAGTGATTCTGGCCATGAAAGACTTCGACAATACATTGTACATAAGCCACATTTGCTGAAGTTACCAGAAATGTTGCCCAGAAGACAGGAATCTGAGCCATCTCAATCCACTACAATCCAGTGCTTCAAGCTTCACTTTCTTTCAACAACCATCATCAGGTAAATGTGCTTAGCATTGCAGCCTTGGTATAAGAAACTCAGATCTGGCAGCAGGTATCAGCTGGGTATATTACACAAATTGTTCAAACACATTTTCCTACTTTGTGTCCTTGGCAATTTCTCTCCACATCCTGTCCAGTGTTCCTCCTTGAAGAGAAAATATATTTCCATCCACCTTCTTCAGGTTCCACCAGGGCATTCCAATGCAATCCCACGATTTAATTAAACAATAGATTGCTCAGGAAATTGTTAATCACCAAGGTAAAAGGGGCCTCTGATAAACAGCAAGTGATCCTGAGGCATTTCACAGACAAAGCATATCGCAAAACATTTCCAGAGGTGCATCTCAGAGGCCAAGGCAAAATATATCTCAAGTTACCACTCCCAAAGAAAGCTAACTGCATTTACATCCTACTGAAATCACTGAGTCAAGAAAATCATACCTGAACTCACCACCAAATTTTAGTGAGACTTGAACTTCCTTCAATTCCGGATTGTATTTCCTGTTTCTCTTCACTTGTGGCCTAATTACAATGATTGTAATTAAAGGAAACCTAGTAATGCCCCCCACCCCCCACCCCAAGTACTATAAATCTACCTTATGTTTGAAGGGAGTTGTCTCAGAAGGATGCTCCTTGATTTTCAGAAAACAATAATGCTTAGAAACACAATTCTTTTTGATTTCAATACAAATGGATGTGATTTCCAGATATCATAATTAAACATTTCATATACATAAGTACAGTCCAGTGATAGAAAGAAATTTGCTAGCTAACGTACTCAATATTTCTTTTTAATTTTTTCATTTTTGGCGAGATGTCAGTTTTGCCTGAGCTGCACTCTTTTCTTTAAGGCCTTGGTGAGTTTCCTTAGTCCTCCACAGCTGTCGGCTTTGTCACTGTAAGTAGTCAGGCAGAGTATCAGCTGCACAGCGGAATCCCAGGTTTGAGGCAGAACTGTCAGGAGTATTTTGGCTTCGAGCTGCACATCGATACCTATAGCAGTAGGACTGAGAAGGAAAGTTGAACATTATCACAGGTTCCTATTAAATTACATTGATTCGGTGAACATGCCATTGTAATTCTCCAATGGATAACAAAGAACATTAGTCAACCAAGGGAGACATTCTCTAATTTAGCTCATGTGAATAGAAATGGACCAAAAAACGCTGGTTTCTGAGACAAAAAATTCTAATAACACCCCATTGGTGATCTACATAATTTGACACTATTCTGTCTAAAGGTAAGAGTCTTCTAGGATAAGAAGGAAAATAGGCCAGACTTCCTAAAAATATATATAAAATGAAGATTTTTTTAATGTGTGGTTTCTCGGGTCCATTTTACCTTACTGAAGCATTGCTGCAGATTATTTCATATGACATTTTCCAACTACTTTGTTGTTGTTCATTCGTTCAGTCGTCTCCGACTCTTCATGACCTCATGGACCAGCCCACGCCAGAGCTCCCTGTCAGCCGTCACCACCCCCAGCTCCTTCAAGGTCAGTCCAGTCACCTCAAGGATGCCATCCATCCATCTTGTCTTTGTTCGGCCCCTCTTCCTTTTGCCTTCCACTTTCCCCAGCATAATTGTCTTCTCTAGACATGTCAATATACATTTCAGAACTGGGTTTGCAAGGGATGTAAGAGATGTATGTTTGCAAGAGATGTATTTTTCTTTAGGACTGCAAAAGCATGTTAATACAAATTTCACAACTGGATTTACTCAGCACTTTCCTAATTTTTTAGAATGCTGACTGAAGTAGCCACTGATCCAAAGCCTTTCTATGCTAATGACTTTGATCGTAAGATACTTTTTGCCGCAGACAAAAATCTCTACTATTTTGCTAGGTGTATAGCTAGGAAGATTCCCATCATCATCACTTCTCACAATGTCAGAAAAAGCAACATATCTGGGATAAATCGGGCTAGGTCTATTTTCATATATCTCGTAGCATGTGAAGAAAAAAAAATGGAAATCTTTGCTATTCATGGTTCCTATGCCTTTCTACTTCTTTGCTATGAGTCCACCAAGAATTTCATTTTTCTTTTTGATTGACAGTCTTTAGTGCCCTCCTCCACATTTCTGCCCTTCTTTCCAAATTTATTCTGACATGACTTGTACCTCCCTAACAGTCATTTCAGCTTCCTTGGGGATGTGTGCTTTATCATGTGAGAACTACGGCTGCGAGAGAATATGATCTATGTTACCATAGAGATTTCCGTGACTTGCAATCCTTCTACAGGTCTACTGTGGCAAACTCTGTGCAAGACGGCTTGGTGGTATCTTTAAAGAACAGAAGAACAGCAAAAGAGACAAGCAGTCCATAGCTGTGCCTGACATCCCCAAGCACAACATGAGTAGTAATCCTGCAATTATAGCACTAGCACCTCTATTCCCAGGACTACCCCACAAAAGGCTTTTGCAAATAAGAAGCCTCTTGTTATATTTAATAAAATTACTAGGGGAATTGAAAGACGCTTTTATTCCAAAACTTTGCAATTGCTTATTATCTCAAGTGATTTAAAAATCTGGGTTGCATTCAATTGTAGTGTTGCACTATGTGGAAAGCTCTCACTTTCCTGTGAGGCAGAACATCAATTTTTCAGAACATCATTCTTTTTCTGTACCTATCACCTTCACCTCATGATCTCTGAGCCTGTGGGTTGGGAGATCCTCCTGGGCAATATGAGATGTGCTGAAGCTTGCAGAGAGGACTGATTTTAAAAGACTTTATGGATGTGTCGTTGAAGGCTTTCATGGCCAGAACCATTGGGTTGCTGTGAATTTTCCAGCCTGTATGGCCATGTTCCAGAAGCCTTTTCTCCTGACATTTCACCCATATCCTCAGAAGTTGTGACCTCACAAACTCTGAGGATGCCTGCCATAGATGTGGGTGAAACGTCAGGAGTGAATGCTTCTGGAACATGTCCATACAGCCTGGAAAACTTACAGCAACCCAACTTTGTGGATGCTCCATCTACTGTCAACGTAAGCAACGAAACTGGATATAACCCACTACCTTGAGATAAAGCTTATGAACTGGGTTATGTATTTATTTTAACATGTTTAATTCCACAGCATAAATCATTTCAATGAAGTGTTGTTGTTGTTTATTCGTTCAGTGGCTTCTGACTCTTTGTGACCTCATGGGCCGTCCCACGACAGAGCACCCCCAATTTCTTCAAAGTCAATCCAGTCACTTCAAGAATACCATCCACTTATCTTGCCCTTGGTCTGCCCCTCTTCCTTTTTCCTTCCATTTCTACCAGCATAATTGTCTTCTCCAAGCTTTCCTGTCTTATTATGAAGAGGCCAAAGTACTTCATCTTTGCCTCTAATATCCTTCCCTCCAGTGAGCAGTCGGGCTTTATTTCCTGGAGTATGGACCGGTTTGATCTTCTTGTGGTCCAAGGCACTCTCAGAATTTTCCTCCAACATCACAGTTCAAAAGCGTCCATCTTCCTTTGCTGAGCCTTCCTTATGGTCCAGCTCTCACATCCATATGTTACTATGAGGAATACCATTGCTTTAACTATGCAGATCTTTGTTGCCAGTGTGATGTCTCTACTCTTCATTATTTTATCGAGATTGGTCATTGCTCTCCTCCCAAGAAGTAAACATCTTCTGATTTCTTGGCTGCAGTCAATGAAGTGGACTGTGTTTAATCTGATTTTGAGAATGCTTCCAGCTCATACAACAAAACAGAGCCACTGGTTATGTATCCATAAAAACACCAACGGCATCCTGATTATGCATATTACAGTCAGTAAGTTCCAGTAGGATTTTACCTTATTAAATGGAATTGGGCATTTTGCCTGAAATGTTTCATTAATGACAATATTCCGGCCCAGAGACACTTTGTAGATCAAATCTGTAATTGCATTTGCTTTATTAGTGTCCGTTCTGTTAATTTGTGAAGAAAGATAGTTGCTCCCAAATAAGACAGTTTTCAATTTAGAACACTTCATGATTCGGGCAACACGATATCAAGAAAAGCCAAACACGCTCCCTTATCTCACTGATTAAATGAATACAGTTGGCATTTGCTGGAATACATGACATCAAGATGATTTTTCCCCATGACATCAATTGGCCATCAGCAGAGACCACTCATTTTCCCTCTGCATTCAATCACTTTAAAGATGGGGCCTGCTACAGTCTTTGAATTAAGAAGGCTTGGAACAGAGAAGTTTTGACACATGTCTAGGAGAGTCTCTATTTAATTGAAAAGATTCTCTGTTTCCTGGAGGGAGAACTACATAGAAGCGCCCTAGCGGTCCGAAAACTGCTGGTGCAGAGATTCAATTAGTGTGATATAACTAGGATGACCTAAAATGACATACCAAAAAGATGACCATCAGCTACAAGACACATGCCACTTTAAGTTTAAACCTTTCTTGGATGTTGCTGCTGCTGAAAATCAGCTTTCCCTCCTTCCTCTGTCTCTGACCATCTGGAGTCCTATCGATCCTCCTCATCCTATGCCATAATGACTAGAAGTGAACTCACAGTTAGCAGCATGAAGCTGCCATTCTCTTCCTTCTAATTCTTAAGTTGCTATGCCTAAAACAAGAGCAATAAATAAGGGGGAAATAGATAACGCAACCAAAAACCATGCCAGAAAGCAGTGTCTGTTGGGATAATTTCTCCTCCAACTGCAGCCTTGTAGATGTACAGTCGGAAGGCCAGCAACTTCCTCTAGAAACTATGAGTGTATAAGCTGCCTTGTTTTAGCATTACAAGAAAAGGAGAAGGGAATGAGGTCAGGATGGTCTTTGGAGGAAGGAGACTGGTAAAGGTTAATTGTTATATGGGAAAGAAGTTTAGAGATAGAAAGAATCTTCATAATTCATCTTTCTTTGGATTATAAGATTATAAACCATTGGAATTTTTGTTCTGTTTTCTACTGCTATTTAATATATTGGAACAATGTGGAACAATTATTCTGCAGAGAAACACATTGAGCTTTTGTGCAAAAACCTGGGTTCTTCAGAGAAGATACAGTGAAGACATCTGCCTCAGAACCTCTAAAGATGCCTGCCACTGATGCAGGCGAAATGTCAGGAGAGAATGCTTCTAGAACATGGACATACAGCCCGGAAAACCTACAGCAACCCAAGACATCTGCTGTTGAGTTTTGCTGCTCTGCTACTGAATACACATGCCCAGTGTGGAATATATCTCGCCACATCAAAACAGTGGACGTGGCACTTAATGAGACATGCCACATTATCACAGGATGTCTACACCCTACACCAGTGCAGAAATTATACTGTTTAGCAGGCATTGCACCACCTAATATCTGTCAGGAAGTAGCAGCCAGCAATGAAAGGACCAAGACATTGACATCTCTGGCCCATCCTCTGTTCGAATATCAGCCAACATGCCAACACCTTAAATCAAGAAACAGCTTCCTAAGATCTTGAGTACACAGACCAGGCAACTTGGAAAGCACTGAACAGGCTGTACTCTGGCACCATGAGATGCAGAGCCAATTTTAAGAAATGGGGCTATAAAGTGGAGTCCACCACAGGTGAGTGTGGAGAAGAGCAAACCACAGAGCACCTACTACAATGAAGTCTGAGCCCTGTCACAGGCATAGTGGAGGACCTCCTTATAGCAATACCAGAGGCACTTGAAGTGGCCAGGTTCTGGTCAAAGGAAATTTAGCATAATGCCAAGTTTTTACTTTGTTCGTGGTTTTTAAATACATTATAACTGTATTCTCAATTTACTTGGCACGATAAATAAAATAAATTAATATTGAGAGAAAATGAGTTTCCTACACAGAAAACCTGCCTTCTGCCCATGAAACATTTTTTTCCATATGTGCAAAAAAACTATGTGTTTTTCTCTGTGGAATGATTTCTCTGCAACACTTCAGGGTACTCAAATACAAGGATAATACTGCAGGGGAATATTCATTTCCTTCCACAGTGGGGAGTAATTTTTGTACTGACATGCATGTAAGAAATAACTAAGGATTTACTTTCCTATTCAAATTATTTCTGAACTAACCCAAGTAGAAACCTGGAATGTTTTTAGCTGAAGGTAGTTTACCTGTATTTATACTTTAGAGAAAAACAGAAGTTGGTAAAATTCTGTTTTACTTCTACATTCAAGTCCCGAAGTCACAGACAAGTTTTATTATCCTTTAAAAGAAAGCCTATTTTGTCTTCAGTAGACTCTAAATTGGGCCATATTACTCATCTCTAAAGGAAACTGTTATTCTGTTTTTAATTGACTCAATCTACTAATTAATGTGTGACATTGATTTCACCTGAAAATAAAACAGTGTACAGCATGTGATCTTGGTATAGACAATGTGTGCTTCTTCTGGAGGATAAGAATCTAATGCATTATAAAGGAAAATGTTGAAAGTGTAAAACAAAGAGAACCTCTGAACCACACAGAAGGAAAAATGCACAATAAGATTAATTTTTAATTAAAATAAATAAAATTGGATGCATTGTTTTGCCTTGCACAAGAGATCTTTTGTAAAAGCTCTGCTATGCATAACACTGGGAATTAGGAAAATGGCAGGAGGGAAATACTCATTTCCTATTACAAATACTCTTCAAGAATTATTGGTTACTAAAAACGTAGATTGCACTCATTTATATTTTCAGGCGATTAGCTCCTCTCTAATTTTATATGAGTTCTACAAATTCCTGGAAAATTTTACATTAATATAAGGGCAATATAAGTGCAAAGTCAAGACAGTAAAGCAGTTTGCACTTATATTGCACTTATATTAATGTAAAATTTTCCAGGAATTTGTAGAACTAATTTCCTATTATAAATACTCTTCAAGAATTATTGGTTATCTACCAAGCTTGTTCACATATAAAAAAGAAGTAAGGTTCATCTGGTATTACTTGTTTTTGAGAAACCCATGTTAACCATCCTGGACACAGCATATTATTTGAGAACATAGAAATGCTGGACCACTCTAACAGCCACCATGTCAGGCTACACAGACAAGCCACTGAAATCCATAAGCATGTGAACAATTTCAACAGAAAGAAAGAAATCATAAAAAGGAACAAAATCTGGCTACCAGTATTAAAAAACCTCTAAAATTATAACAGTAAATAAAAAACAAAACTCAAACACAGGGAAACTCCAGCCAGGAAACAATCAGGAACACCTGGTCACCTCTCAACAAGGAAATTTCCCAGGCAGTAACAAGCCACATCTAAAAACGGTCAGGCCATCAAATGCTAACCAAGGTGGCCAATTGAAACATTCACACCTAGCTCCAACAGACAAGAGTTTTTTCTCCCACCCTGGACCTTCCACAGATATAAAAACCCCATTTACCTAGTTTCCAACAAACCTCACAACCTCTGAGGATGCTTGCCACAGATGCAGGTGAAACGTTAGAAGAGAATGCTTCTAGAACATGGCCATATAACCCCAGTGATTCCAGCCATGAAAATCTTCGACAATACAACCCATGTTAACTTTTTGCAAGTATGGCATTCCTTTCTATGTCCATACAGATTTATGATCTCCTCCATAATTTTTCCTGGTGTTGATGTCAGGCTGATTAGGTGGTAAGAACACTTCAAAACAAAGGTTTTTTTTTTCAACATGGGTTTAGATAAAACTTATTTTCATCTTAGATTACACTGCTTTCTTCAAAAATAAGGAGTTCAAAGAAAACCATGAATTAAAAAGAAGACTCAATATTAAAACATCAACACTATGTGTGGAAATGAAAGGCTTCAAAAATAAGTAGTCCAAAGACTACGGGCAGATGTAATCTCTTGAAATGTAATCTCTACTATAATTTCAGAATCACAATCATGTTGGCTGTAGGCCTATTAGTGGAAGGTAGAAAAAACTGGAAAATGACAAGAATGACTTTTCTGGCACCCTTAATTACTCCCGGTTGAAAGCCCCAAAGTTTTAGTTGGCCACCTACTTAGCTCTTCTTATATTCCCCACTCTGCTTGGCTTTGTAGTGCTGATCATGTATGTGTAACCGCTATTAAAACATATACATCCATTTATAAAGGAAGTTAAGGCACATGAGATCATGAGGAGAAGTCCTTCTTTCAGTTCCACCACCACTGCAAGCACAGATGTTGGAGGTGAGAGAGTGGATCTTCTTGGTAGTTGGCCCTAATCTCTGGAACTTTCTTTTCAGACAGGTCAGAATGGCCCCCTGCTTGTTGTTCTTCCATTGATAGGCTAAGATATTTTTTATTTAGACTGGCTTTTAAAATATAAAACGGACAAAGCTGTGCTGTAGTGTTTTTAATTGAACAGTTTTAGCGCTTTCTATATATTTGTTTTGATTTTTTATTGATGAATTGAATTATTTAAGTATATAAATGGTTTAATTCTATTTTAATGTTTACTTTTTATGTGTTTTTAATGTATTGTTATTTTAAATTGTGAACCTATTCTCATTTCCTTCAACATACTAGTTGATTCTAGAGCAGTCTCCTAGACAAGAAGGTCTTTATTACATTTACGTCATACAATGGCTGGAATCCTGTTAGTGGCATTGCACCTGTTGCTGGTGTTACACCTCCTTTGCACAGTGACCCCATGTGCCCTATCTTTCTTAGCTCCTTTATGACCATTTAGTGACTGGGAGAACTTGAGGGATTAAGAGGAAAGTGGTGGTATGTTCTTGTGACCAGAGACATGAAGAACACTGCATCTCCCTGGACTTCTTGGAGGTTCTTCATAGGTGTGAGAGGACATTTTCTTTGTCTACTTGACTGCAGAAGCACAGCCACTACCTGGCCTCCCACACAGCCTGCTTTAGCCACTAAATCACCATAAAGGCCTTGGAAACAGAGAGGTAGGCTGCACTTACAGGGAGAAGGTATTGAAGTGGAATTATGCTTGCCAAAGCTTTGATAGACTCTTGTCCAATAACTTGCAAATAAAAAGCATCCAAAAATGGCACTTATACAAATTTTAATTAATATGATAACACATAGTTAACTCAATAACATTTGTAAAAATCCTCCAAAACCTAAACAAAGAAAGCACACTTAAAGCAGAGTAATAGAAAACATTTATCTATGAAGAGTAAAAAATGATTTGATCTAGCATCTAAAAACTGGAAGAAATAAGTCACCAACACCAACATTTTAAAAACTTTCCAAGAGTGACAGTGTGTCAATCTCAGTAGCATCCTCAGAAGGTTTATTTCACATTAGTATTAAAGCCAAGCATCTGATTTGAGCAGATGGTGAGGAAAGGTAATGTTTCTCCCATTTTCTATTTGTGTGCAAAGTGTGCTGGGGTGCATTGGACCAAGTCCAAATCATAGTTTGTGTCCACATGTCTACACTGGGGAAACCTTTTTTCCTCTCTTGGTCATATTTGTTTCCATATAATGTTTCTCTGAAAACAACCTTACTGGCGTTTTCCCTCCTTCTCCATCTGGGTGGCACCAAAAGTACATTCTGCCAAACTAAATCTAGATTCAATTGCACTTGCAGAGGTCCCAATAGCTTTTCTCTTACTTAGGTCTTTTGAAAACTTCTGATCTTGTCTCATGTTCTCGCAATTGTGTGGGCTGGCCACTGGAGTAAAAGGGAGATTGTCAAGCTCTTCACACTTTAGGTATGTCATACTGGGACAGCTAAATTGTCATCAAGCTAAAATTAGTAGACAACCAATACTTTATCTCCGTTAATACAAAAGGGAATGTGAATTAACAGTTCATTGTTTCATCATCACTTCAACCTATCCATCCCTAGAGCACTTTTGAAGTCATTGCCTTCATTTTTATGCCATGCAGTATAATGTTATTTATCAGTTATCACATACTCAAATAAAAATCTCTGTGTACTAACATCAGAGTGGCAATATCTTCAAAAATATATGGAAATGTTTTAGCCTTACCTTATGGCACATATAGGATCCACCTTTCTTTACTCGATCAGTCCCTGTTGGAGGTCCTTTCTGCAGATAGAAGGATACCAATTATAGTTACCTTTATAAACCTAGCAGCTGAATGCCAATCATGTAAGCATTAGAGACAGGAAAGTGAGGGAGTTGTGGTAAATAAACACTGAAAAGAATAGAAGACAGTCCAGTGGCACAATTGTTCAGTACAGTTTGCAATTGCTTTTTTCTTCCATCAAAGCTGCAAGCAACATGTTATTTTAATGTCTCCAGATAAAGTTGTAATATACTGCTAAGAGCACAGTGACAAGAGTGGGATTGTGATGACAGACAAGGAAGACAAGGAAGGAACCAATTTACTTCATGGAAAGAAATTCAAAATCTATGTTTATTCAAGACAGTGTGATAGGTCTGATGATTAATAAAATCCAACATAATTGTGGATTTGTTGGTAGGTCAGACCCTCATAATGTACACAGATACCAGAGTACCACTTAGTAGTTTGACCGCATATAGAACTCACATCTTTGGTACTTGAAGGCTGTTCATAACATACAGAGATATACACATCCAGAAATTCGGCCATCAAAACAAAAAACAGCTTGAAGAAAACTTGGAATAGAATTTGGTATGGTAGGGCTATGAGCCTAGTTCTGGAACTGAAAACAATTTCAATCCCTAAACTGAGAGGCACTTGGGGGCCCTTAGGTTTTACATGTAGTCCATCCCTTTCTATGACCTCCAGTTTTGAATTTTGGGATTCTAGGTCTCATGTAACCTTAAACACTGTCCATCCTGCTAAAACGGAGAGAGGATAATATGGTTAAACACTAATGGACCAGAGTATAAACTCTTTCATAAAAACATTGGGGATAGGGAACATGAATGCTTTCAGATTTGGTTTTTATTTTAATTATCTGGCTAGATTATCTGACTAGATTGTTTAAATTTTGTTAATATGGATGCATTGCATTGAATGTTTACCTTTTATGTTTGGAATCCACCCTGAGTCCCTTCTGATAGGGCAGAATATAAATAAAGTTTTTTATTATTATAGTAATAATGGTGACGATGAAAACAATAACAAATTCGTTATATGGACATTTTAAACTGCATTTTGTTAGTGTTAATTTACATGTGGCGCTTCAACCAAAAACGTGAGACAATCAGGGAATTCTGTGCACACTATGAGATTCCAACTTTTTTCTATGATCTTTAAGAACTCAAGTTACATTTGATGCACAGAATTGCAGCATACACATGACTGGGTATGTGGGTAGGTAAGTGGATAGGTAGGCCTTATAGTTCTGAGTCAGAAGTGGGCAAATTTGGCGTTTAGGTGGTTTCATTTACCTATCACAGCCAATGGTGAAGGACACTGGAAACTGTAGTTCACAATTGCTCACTCCTGTTTAAGTAGTTGCATATAATATTGCCAAAGGCATAAATGTGATCTGCTAACTACCAATGGACGAGACAAAAGTACACTTTCAAAGCTGTCTATAGTTCTCAAACTCTGTGGAAACTTTCTAATATACTGTTTGGCACTTGTATCACTTATACATCATAAAAAGCTACACACAAAATATGGAAAGTTACATTAGCAAGTTATCTCAATAAAATTCCCTATAGTAAAATTATAGAAAGCCTCAAACCCAAAGAAGTATGATTAAAAATCTGAGAAACATCATCAAAATGAAAATTAAATGTGTCCTATCTGGAAGAAAAGTAACTGGCAAAAAGTAGTTTCATCTCTGATTTGCAAAAGGCGTCTCTCTCTCTCCCTTGCACCCATGTGACTCTGTGCGTTCTGAATGTGCAAAGATTATAAAGGGGATAATTTCGTCTTCTAAAGCACAGATACAATTAGCAGGTTCTTTGGATTAAGTCCCCAGCTTCATTAATTATGCAAAGAGGAAGATAAGGGGAGTGCAGAGCATTCTAGCAGCAAAGTATGAATTAAAGTGAGCATTGCACATTCTGAAGCAGGATTAATATACAGCAATTCATTACTGGAGCATTTGAGCTGTAACCTCTTCAGGCCACAAACTGCATTACTCAACATTATCCCCTTAATGGAATAGTACAAACATTGTTTTATTACAGTGGAGGGAATTCAGCTGTAAGTGGATCCAGTGGTATTTGGGGGGGGGGGGGTGTAAACATAGCAAAAAATTAATCCTGTCTCCAGACTGTTTCTCATTTTCCCATTCTGTATAGCTGGAATATTATATATGGAAATGGAAAGGTGGGATCTGGAAGGCCTAAGTATGTGTTTCCTTGTCATGGAGTGGAACCATGCAGGGTGCAGAATGGGTGGCTATAAACCTATATTTGAGAAAGGAGGAAGGTGTTGGTCACTTTTTTTTGTCGTGTCAGGAGCATCGCTTCTGATGTGAGAGAATTGGCCGTCTGGTGTTAGTCATAATACACAGTGAAAGCACTTTGATGACCGCATCTCTGCCTATGAACCCACCAGGACTTTGAGATCTTCCGGGGAGACCCTGCTCTCGATCCTGCCTGCTTCTCAAGCTCGGCTGGCGGGGACGAGAGATAGGGCCTTCTCGGTGGTGGCTCCTCGGCTGTGGAACGCCCTTCCTACGGACATTAGACTAGCACCATCTCTAATGGTATTCCGCAAAAAGGTGAAGACCTGGCTGTTTGAGCAGGCGTTCGAATAATTAGTGAAATGATTGGTTAATGAACACTGGAATGGAACAATGGATGACGAATCTGGAACATGTTTTTGATGACGAGACAACAGTGAATGAGTATTGTAGTAACTGTTTATTAATTGTGTAATGTGTTAGGTTGTTAACTGTTTTTATATTCGTTAATCCGTTAATCCGTTATTAATTCGTTAATTTTTGCATTTACGGTACGATAACAAAACAATATTTCAAACCCGGAAGGGTTTTAAAATATTGAAACGTCAACTCCATGAGTATTTACGAGCTTTCGCTCGTTTCGTAAATGGGGCGGACGGGCGGGGCGAAGGGGCGCCGCGAGCGCGCACCCAGTGAGCCAAGCCCCGCCCCTGCCTCTCTCTCTCGCGTTCCCTCCTTCCTCCCGCTTCTTTCCTTCCTTCTCTCTCTCTCTCTTCCCCCCTTTCTCTCTCACACACTCCCTCGTTTCCCCCCTCTAAATGGGGCGGACGGGCGGGGCGAAGGGGCGCCGCGAGCGCGCACCCAGTGAGCCAAGCCCCGCCCCTGCCTCTCTCTCTCGCGTTCCCTCCTTCCTCCCGCTTCTTTCCTTCCTTCTCTCTCTCTCTCTTTCCCCCTTTCTCTCTCACACACTCCCTCGTTTCCCCTCTTTCTCTCTCTTTCGCGTCCCTCCTTCCTCCCCCTTCTCTCTTTCACTCCATCCTTCTCTCTCACTCCCTCCCTCTTTCTCTCTCACACACTCCCCCTTTCCCCCCCTCTCTCTCTCGCGTTCCCTCTTTCTCTCCGTCCCTGCCTGGCCTCACTCCCTCCTTTCTTCCCTCTTCTTTCTTTCTTTCCTTCCTTCCTTCCTTCCTTCCTTCCTTCTCTCTCCTCTCTTCCCCTCTCTCTCACACACTCCCTCGTTTCCCCTCTTTCTCTCTCTCTTTCGCGTCCCTCCTTCCTCCCCCTTCTCTCTTTCACTCCATCCTTCTCTCTCACTCCCTCCCTCTTTCTCTCTCACACACTCCCTCCTTTCCCCCCCTCTCTCTCTCGCGTTCCCTCTTTCTCTCCGTCCCTGCCTGGCCTCACTCCCTCCTTTCTTCTCTCTTCTTTCTTTCCTTCCTTCTTTCCTTCCTTCTCTCTCTCTCTCTTTCCCCCTTTCTCTCTCACACACTCCCTCGTTTCCCCTCTTTCTCTCTCTCTTTCGCGTCCCTCCTTCCTCCCCCTTCTCTCTTTCACTCCATCCTTCTCTCTCACTCCCTCCCTCTTTCTCTCTCTCACACACTCCCTTTCCCCTCTTTCTATCTCTCTTTCTCGCGTTCCCCTTTCTCTCCTCCCTCTCCCTCTCTCTCTGTCTCC